TCACTGGCCCAGCCGCACCCTCTGCCACAGCTCACCCCACTCCTGTGTCCAGAGAGGAGTGCACCACGAGGCCGCCCCTCTGGACCGCCGGCCACCAGACCTGCTCTGAGACCCAGGCTAGCAGGCCCTGCCCTGGGCTGTGTGCTAGGGGCCCAGCTCTGGTTCCTGAGGGCAAGGGGTCCACCGGCCAAGGGGCGTGCCCTCACCTATACCACCCTCTTCTTGGCCCCGTCAGGCCCCGAGGGCCCAGAAGGTCCTGGGCCCACCTGAGCTTCTTCCCCGTCAGCCCTCCGAGGCTGGCAGGGTGGCTGGTGTGGTGAGGATGAGGGTGTGGGTGGAGCTTGGGAGTTCCGGCTGGCTGGCTGGCTGGCGGAGGCCCTCTCTGCCCTGGAAGGAGTGAGGTGGGGAGGGGAGGGGAGGGAAAGGGTGGGGAGGGGTGGGGAGGGGAGGGGAAGGGTGGGGAGGGGTGGGGAGGGGAGGGGAAGGGTGGGGAGGGGTGGGGAGGGGCGGCGCTCTGCCTGCAGGTCTCTGACAGGAACACGTGGAGCTCAGGTTCAAGAGCGTGTTCGTGACGTGTTCCCCACGTGAACACACAGAGCTCCCTCACCCACAGCCCTCCCAGCCAACGCCAGCCACATAAACCTGCCAAGAGCCAGTCCGGCTGGCACGGGCCCTCTCGGAGCTTCCGGGCGGGGGTCCAGGGCAGGTGGGGGCCTGCCCGGGGCACAGCGGGCCTGCCTGACTCAGAGGGCGGGGTGGCCAGGGAGCTCTCACTGCCCGGGGCGCCCCGGGGACCTGTCTGGCCAGTTTGCCCATACTTGCCACATTGGCATTTAATGTTTAATTCCTCACACGTATCACTCTGGGGATGGTTTCATGCAGACCAGGGTGGGGAAGAGGGAACCCCAGAAGGAAATATAACCCTCCCATGACCAGCTGACCCAGGGACTGGGCTCTGAACGCTGTGGACAGGCTCTGGCTGAGCCCTGGGCCCGGCTTCCCCTTGGAGGTGAAGGAAGTGGGAGAAAGGGTCCTTCCCGCCCCGCCCAGGCCCACGTGTTCGGGTCCCATCGCTGCCTCATTGAGCTGTGTAATGGGCAGGCCCTGTCCCCGAGGGTCACTCCTGTGTTGAGGGGCCCGCTTTGAGGGGGGCCTCCAGAGAGCTGACCACACTGGGAGTTACTTTAACCCAGTCGCAGCAGGGGGACCCTCCTGTGGGTGAGGAGCAGGGACGAGTGCCAGTTACCCGAGAATCAATCAGGTCCTTCTCGTGCTAGGCCAGTGGCTGCCCGGCACCTGAGGAGGCATTTCCTAGTCCTCTGAACTCCCCCTCCAACAGAGCGAGGACGCTCCAGGGCAGGCAGACACCTGCTGTTGTCCTTACCCCTCACCGTGCCCTCTCTCCCTCTCTCCCTCTCCCTTCTCTCCCCTCCTCCCCCGCCCTGCCCCGTCGCAGGCTCCTGTGGGACCCGACAGGGAGGGTGCGCTTGGAAGGCAAGACGACCAGGTCCCGGCGGAGCAGGAAGAGCATGGGCCTGGCCCAGCTGAGCCTGGCTCCTCGGCACTGCTGCCCCCCTGGGTGGGGAGGGAGGGCACGGAGGGAGAGGCCCAGCTGGTTAGGACGGTGCCACTCCCCACCGGCCTGACTCGGAGGGGCTGGGAGCGTGTCTGTGTGTGGACCACACCCACAGGAGCTGTGCCTTCCTGCTTCTCCTCCTTCGTGCCCGGCCCCTGCCCCAGCTGGAAGACGGCAAAGGGCCTGGCCCTCGGCCTGAGGGCGAGGAGCCAGTTTCCCCTCAGCCCAGGAGCCGCTGATGAAAGAAGATGGGGCTGCTGCGTATCTTGTTACCTAAGTCGGGGAGCACAGCGATGGCCCCGGGATATGGGTCATCAGGCCAAGGGTTCTAACCTAAGGTGCCCATAAGAGGGCTTCCGGGGGCCCGAGAGCCCTCGGCATAAGCAACATCGCATGTATGTGGCCCAGAGCCTCGTCTCGGTCTCAAAGGGGTCTGTGTCCCCACAGAGGCAAGACAGCCTGGTGCCCAGCAGGCCCAGCTGCAGGCAGGAGAGAGGCAGGCCGGAGGTGCAGGTGGTTCTGCAGGCTGGTGCTGGGAGGGAAGATCAAAGCTTCTAGACAGTGGGTGGAGGGCGAGTAGAATGGCTTGAATAGAGCTTGGAGCCTGGAGCCCGGCTGCAAGGGTTCAAGTCCCAGCTCCGCCACTTAGGAGCTGTGTGACCTCAAACAAGTTCCCGCCACACTCTGCGCTTCACTTTCCCCTCTGTGCGACGGCGCTTAACGACAGCACTTCCCTGAGTCCCGACAGGTGGCTGTGACTGACACACCCCGGGAACACTGCTCGCCACTCCACCTGCCCTTCCCCGTTCAGCGGGCACCCAGTGGGCTCCGGAGGCGAGGGGCAAACTTCCCTTTTGGGGTTCAGTCCCTGCCTCTGTAAAACGAGGCTGGCGTGGACCTCATGAGCCCCTTTGAGTTGGCCGTTTTCCCCGCGTTCTTTCTCTGGCGCTCACCAGTGAGGGGGTGCGAGTGTGCTGGGGACGCCCCACATCCTGGGCTGGCTCTGGGGCTTGCCTGGAAGGGCCGCTCCCCGAAAGCAGCCTCAGGTCGCCAGGCCTGGCCAGCCGGCCAAGCCCGCTCCGGTGGCCGCCTGCCTGACTGGGGTCTGCCGGGCCCCTGAGCCAGGACCTGGTTGGCCCAAACCAGATCGAACCAGAGTGTCCAAACCAGAACTGAGAGCAGAAAGGCTGGGACTTGCCCTGGTCCCCAAAGGGACCCAAAGTGGGTGGGTGGGGCCTACAGGGTGCCAGCCCATCAGGATAAACTCAGCATCAACCTGTTCCATGTTGACTCAGCTCTGGACAGCAAGAGCCACTCCAGGGGGAAAAGCCGTTTATCTCAATATTTCACAACCAGACTGGGCCTGGGCGCATCAGCCATGGGCCCACAGGTCTGTGATCCAAGTATGTGTGCTGGGGGCCGTGAGGGGAGAGGACCTAATCACCTCCAGCAATAGGAAAACGACTTGGTCTGCATTTATGGGTGCAGTGACCCCTGTAACAGGTCTACACACCCTGGAAACGAAGGTAGGGCTGAGTCATTTGCCTTACACCTTTTCGTTTTCTTTCTGTGTTTGTCTGTGAATTGTTTTTATAAACAGAAAGTAAGTTATTTAAAGTTGTATTTCCATAGGTCTGTGTGCTCAGCCCTCCACCGAGAGGCCTTGGGGATCCAGCAAGGAGAATGAAGGCTTGGTCTCTATCCCTCCCAGAATCTCAGCTCTGGTGGGTGAGGTTGGACACACCAGGAGAAAGACGGTGGTAGAGAAAGGTGGTTGTGCCAGGTGGTGCTGGGCAGAACCTGCCAGTGCCCAGGACCGCGGTGCAGGTGCCTGAGGTCAACAGGCCCTGGGCACTCGGGCCAGGACTTGGCGCCTCATCAGTGCAGGTGGTACCAATCCTCACGGAGCCCAGAAACAGCACTGTCCCGCCCAGGACCCCCTGACAGACAGGAGTGAACCTAGAATCGACGGGGCTGACTGCTGAGACTCTAGACCTGGGCTGTCCAACAGGAGCCGCTGGCACACGCGCTGCTGGAAGTGCGGGGGGGGGGGGGGGGGGGGCGGCGGTGCTATAAGTGCAGTTCCCCACATTGTTGTTGTTGTTGTTAATCCTCGCCCGAGGATATGTTCCCATTGATTTTTAGAGAGAGTGGGAAGGGAGAGGGAGAGACAGAGAAACATTGATGTGAGAGAGACACATCACTTGGTTGCCTCTTGCATGCACCCCAACCAGGACTGGGGAACCTGCAACCAAGGTACATGCCCTTGACCGGAATCAAACCTGGGATCCTTTAGTCCAGTGTTTCCCAAAGTGTGGTCCGCGTCCCCCGCAGGGGTCCGGGAAGAGTTTGGTGGGGGTATGCACTGCACCGTGCTTAGCTGCGCCTAATTCTAAGTTCTCGTGAGTACGAGGGGTACTCAGCGTTACGAAAATTATAGAAGGGTTACACATATGTCGAAAGTTTGGGGAACACTGCTAGTCCATGGGTCCATGCTCTATCCACTGAACCAAACCGGCGAGTGCAAGATTTTAAAGACTTAGTGTGGAAAAAAGAGTGTAAAATTTCTCATTGGTATTTTCCCGCATTGACTCAATGTTGACATGATAATCTTTTGAATACACAGGGTTAAGTAAAATATGTTATGAGAATTAATTTTACCTATTTCTTTTAAGGTAGCTACTAGAACACTTAAAAATTACATACGAGGCTTACGTGGTATTTCTATAGGACAGCGCTAGTCTAGGCTGTCCCAGAAAATCCAGAAACTCTCGTCGCAGTAAAAAGAACCAGTCTCAGAGCAGTCTCCCTTGTCAAAGAGCAGGAGTCCATCACAGGCTCCAGAAGGGAGTTTTGGGTTGTTCTGTGTGTGTGTGTTTTGTAGTTTCAGATCTACAAGCAAATGCCCTTCTCCCAAGGGTGGCTGCTCTTTGTCCTTCAAGACAGCTCACGTGTCACCTCTTCCAGGAAGTCCTCCGTGACCACCCCTATTACTGGATCAACTGCCCCTGTTCTGGCCCATGCTCTAATAGTCTGTTCATTCACTCGTGACCCGCCTAGAGAGCTGCAATGTTGGCTCAGTCACCTCCACATCCCAGCACCTAATGAGGGCCTGGCACGGAGCAGACTGCCATCAGTGATTATGAAATATGAACCCTCCTTAGCTGGAGGTACTCACCACTGCACACAAGTTCCCCTTAACCTCTCCCTGGGTTTCAAACACCCCTGATCCCAGCCTTTCTGCCATGAGTCTCAGCCATGCCTCCTCCCAGTAGCCACCCTGGGTTGGCATCGGAAGAAAGGGAATGGGCAGAGGGTGAAGCCGGTGTCCACTAGCCCAGGGCAGGTGGGGCTCCCCACTCTGTGGCCGCCGAGGTGGCCCGCCCAAGAAGACCCTCAGACCCCAGCGCAGCGCTGTACTCACCAGCGGAAGGAAGGTCAGCAGGGGCCGGACTCTGGGCCGGGCCTTCAGCGTGGCTGTTCCGGACTCGCTCACCGTGTCAAACCGATTGTCTCCATAGTAGATCCCATCTAGAGGAGAGACAGGAGAGGGGAGACCGTGAGCTGGAGATCAGAGGCACGTTGGCCACTGAGTTCAATCCGCCCAGTGGTTGGCCGGTTGACTCGGACCCCACAGATGCGGTGTGTGCTCATGGGGCAGGATTGGGGGGACTTCCGGGGCCGGTTTCTTGGGGTCTTCTGCAGCCTTCCGGGGACGCTCAGCTCGCAGCAGCCATCTCTCTCCTGAGCCAGCCCCTGCAGGCCTTACACTGTCCCTCTCACAGGTTGACTCTCCTTTGGGGGCCCTGGGAGCTTGGCCAGGACCCCGGCTGGAGCTTATCTCAGAGAGAGGGGGGAAAACAAGCTGCCTTTCTCTCAAGTGTTTGGCTTTCTAATCAGGAACAAGCAGAGGAGATGAGGCCACCTGCTGGCCCGTCACCCAGCACCCACCTGGGCTCCTCCAATCCCCATCCACCACTGGCTGTGGGCATGGCTGGGTGTGATGCGCCCTCGAGGGCAGAGCGGAAGGAGCAGGACAGCAGGGTCCATGTGACCCAGTACTAAGGTGACCAGACGTCCCACTTTGAACAATTTTTCCCCTGGCGTTTTAAAAAAAGTCCCGATTTTTAAAAAACGCGGGACGCGGGACAAATTGTTAGAAATCGGGATGTCTGGTCACCTTACCCAGTACACATCCCAGCTCTGCCACCGACTGACTGGTTGTGTCCCTTAACCTTGCTGGCCCAGCCAAAACCAGTTTAGCTCAGTGGATAGAGCGTCGGCCTGCGGACTGAAAGGTCCCAGGTTCAATTCCAGTCAAGGGCATGTACTTTGGTTCCGGGCACATCCCCAGTAGGGGGTGTGCAAGAGGCAGCTGATCGATGATTCTCTCTCATCGATGTTTCTAGCTCTCTATCGCTCTCTCTTCCTCTTTCTGTAAAAAATCAATAAAGTATATTTAAAAAAACAACAAAAAACCTTGCTGGCCTCAGTTTCCCCAGGTGCACCATGGGAGTGATGATAGTGCCCGCCTCTTAGGACTGTTGCAAGGAGGGAGTGTGGCCAGCACATGGTAAGCGCTCCACAAGGGTGGCCTGTCCCTGCAGGCAGGTGATGGGAAGGGTTCTGCTTCCGAGAGCAACAGCCTGTGCCCCAAGCCGTCTCTACAGTCCTGGGGAGGGTGTGCGGAGCCCCCGCACTTTCTCAGCCAGTCTTCCTCATGACCCTTCACACACACACACACACACACACACACACACACACACACACGCGCGCGCACACACAGACACACACACACACACGCACGCACAAAAACAAACACACACACACACACAGGCACGCACGCACACACACATTGCTATGAACCTCACGTCCCACCTCAGGTTCACACTGCCGCCTCCCAGAGGCAGGGGGCTCTGTGGCTCCTGCTATGTCCCTCACAAGCAAGGCGGGCTTACGTACACTTCCCGGGCCAGGAGGGAGCTTCTATCTCTACAGCCAGAGGGGAAAGAGAGAGGTCGGAATTCTATGAATTTAAGGAATGATGCTTACGTTCCCCCTTGCAGGCGACTTTAGGAAAGAAGTGCCAGAAAGCCACGTAATGTATTCAAAAGAGACGGGGCTTGCCCTAACCGGTTTGGCTCAGTGGATAGAGAGAGAGCATCGGCCTCTGGACTCCAGGGTCCCAGGTTTGATTCTGGTGAGGGGAATGTACCTTGGTTGCAGGCACATCCTGGGTAGGGAGTGTGCAGGAGGCAGCTGGTTGATGTTTCTCTCTCATCGATGTTTCTAACTCTATTCCTTTCCCTTCCTCTCTCTGAAAAATCAAATCAATAAAATATATTGATTTTTTTATTGGTTTTTTTACAGAGAGGAAGGGAGAGAGATAGAGAAACATCGACCAGCTGTCTCTTGCACACCCCCTACCGGGGATGTGCCCACAGCCAACGTACATGCCCCTGACCGGAATCGAACCTGGGACCCCTCAGTCCGCAGATTGATGCTCTACCAATGAGCCAAACCGGTTTCGGCTCAATAAAATATATTTTAAAAAAGAGAGAGAGTCTGGGTTTGTCCAAGAGGTCCCGGGATCCGAATATATCCAACCCCGAGGCATACAGCTATGGCTTCTATGTGACAAGCCGGGCTTTGAATGTGACCTTGACTCCTGAGGTAAGGGTGCAGTGCCCTCTGTCTGCCATCTACCAGGCAGAGAGGCAGTGGTACATCTAAGACTCCAGGGCCAAAAGGGCCGGTTTTCCCAATGTGCTCCCCAGTCTCAGGGTGGCTGGACCCCTGCCTGCCTGCCGCGTGCACTCCCAGTCAGGACTCCCCAGTCCTGGCTGCTGGGCTCCAACCGGAGGCTGCAGACCAAGTATGGGGGGGCGGGGCAGGGGGGTGGGGAAGCCCGGGGAGAATGCAGAACCAACTAAAGCAGAGATAATGGCAGGCACCAGCAGCTATTCTGCAAGCCCACAGGATTCTCTGGCTCCCAAGAGTCTGAGTGTTGGCGCCAGGACCTCCTGGGACATTCTCTAGATAGTGCGTGGGGGTGACGGGGGTTGGGGGGACACGGGGGGAGGTCCAGGTCTTAGATCTGATAGGGCTTCGGCCCTTAGCAGTAGTGAGGGTGGGGACGGACACAGGTCCTCTCTCCGAGGCCGACCCTCTCGCTAAGCTCTGCAGCGTGTTGGGTCCAGGAAGCCTCTTTCTCCAGCTGGGTTATCACAACATGAACAGCTACTGCTCTTGTGCACCTGGGAACTTCAGAAGCAAGCACCCCCCAGGCGATCACTATAGTCGTAGAAATAACACAATACTAGGTAAAGCTTAAGGAACCGTTTTAACGGGCCAGGCACCTTAAACATTATTCATTCCTTTCATTCTCAAGACAGCCCTGTGCCATTTGCATGATCATTCCCCCAATTTTACAGGTGAGGAAACGGGGCACAGAGAGGTCTAACACGCTGCTGCCCAAAGCCCCAAAAGGGTGAAGCTGGGCTCTTGGTCCTGGGTTAATCTCTGAACACACACCGCTCCCAACAGGGGTGGGGATGGTGGTGGGGGTGGGGCTCACCCCACCACTTACAGGACATGGAAAGGAGGTGGGGGTTCAGGGGCCGGGGAAGGAGGCTTAGCTTGACCACAGAGCTGGGGAGGAGTGGGAGGCGAAGCCACTGGCCCAGGCCCACCCAGGGGTCAGGGCACAGCCAGGTCTGACCCACCCACAGGCTGGCCCTCTAAACACCTACAGGGTCCATGACTCAGCCTTGACTACCAGGCACTGCTGTCTCGGTTGGTGTGTGGCTGTTTTTAGCAGGGAAATCCTTCTAAGAACAACTGTTCTCTGGAAAAGCCGCTGACGGGAGGGGCTGGGCTGAGGCGGGTGGAGGGCCCGGTGGCTCCCGCCCCACTGGGGCACCCTTGCGAGTCCAGTCTCATTTGGAGGTTCTAGGAGGTGTGGCTGGGCGTCCGGGGAGGGTGAGGCAGAGTCAGAGGGGTGTGATGTGAGGAAGACTTGACTGGCCACTGCTGCCTTTGAGGCGGCAGGGGACCATGAGCCAAGGACCACAGGCGGCCTCGGAAAACGGCCGGAAAAGGGGAGAAAACAGTCTCCCCCCAGCCTCCAGGAAGGAGTGCAGTCCTGCTGACACTCTAGTTCTGGTCCACAGAACCCACCCCCACCCCCAATAAAGAGCGGTGGCCAGGTGGGGGGTGCGGGGTGGGGAGGTTAATGGGGGGGAGGGTCATCTGTAATACTTTCAACTGTAAAGATACTTTTTTTTTTTTTTTTTTTTAAATAAAGCACTGTGGCTAAAACCTGGCAGACCTTCCCTGGCCCCTCAAACCCGGGCTGGCCCACCCACGATTGTGCAAGGCACACCAGCAGGGGAGGCAAGTGTGGCCACCTCCACAAGCTAGGTCCTCCGGGTTCAAGGTCAGGACCGAGGTTTTCTGAGCCCCTAAGTCAAAGTCCACAAGGACACAGAAAGACAATGGGGGATTTTCCTGTGCAGGTGCAGGGCCCCGCAGAGAGCAGGGTCAGGGACGAGGGGCCGTCCTGAGAGGCAGCCCCTCCGCCACGGAGGAGGCGGAGGGGCCAGGCCACCTCTTGAGGGAGGAAGGGACAGTGAGGAGGTGGAGGGGGTGGCGGAGAGGAGGCGGGGCGTTCACCAGAGGTAAGTCTCTGAGGACACGATGAGACTTAGAAGAGGGTCCAGAAACAGCTCAGACAACGGGGGTGGGGGGTGGGGGGCGGCGGCGTTCACCAGAGGTAAGGGGGAGGGGCAGGTGGAAGAGGGCAAAGGGGGTCCATGGGGATGGAGGACACTGGACTTGGGGTGAATACACAGATGCTGTGATGGAATGGCACACCTGAAACCCATGTGATTTCATTAGCCAATGTCGCCCAATACATTCCATTAAAAAGAAATCAGGATTTTACTCGGAGATGACTTGTGGACTGCAAAAATCAATGTGTTAACATTCAGTATGTTGACATACATGCAAATGCTATGCATGTTTGATTTCCTTTGGAATTTGTCACAAGACAGCATGCTGCCATGTGAAATGCCCATTTATCTGTAACCTAAGCCCGAAAAAATAAAAGAAGAAATAAAGGAAAGAGAGGCCCATCCTGGCGCCTTGTCCGCCCTGACCTTGGAAACGCCCTGTGTCTGCCTTTCACGGCCCTTCCCCCTGGGAGGGTCCTGGGGGTCTCAGAGGGGTTGCACTGGCCCCACGGAGCAGAGAGGCAGCCGAGGAGCGTCTGGGTGGGTGAGAAGGCGGAAAGGGAGCCACCGTGGATTCAGAAGCTTCCAGAGAGAGGGGGCGGTACCTCAGGAGACCCCGAGCAATCCCAGCAGCCGGGAAGCCGGGAAGCAGGTCTGGGCAGAGCCAGAGCCCTGTCCAGGTACTAACTCAAGCCTCTCTGTCTGGCTAATTCTTCTAAAACGACACAGTGATAAAACAGGAGAGAGTCCAGGCCTGCCTCCATTTACCAACCCGGTCATTAAAGCAATCTGTTTCCC